TAATTATAATTTAGAAATATTATAATAAATACAGAAACAAATATTTTTATATGCAAAAAATATCAAAATTGTAACTACTTTTACTATTATGGAAAGGATGAAGATAATTAGCAACTTGATAAAAAGTAAAGGCATTAGCTAATTTTTGCTAAAAAGTAAAGTTTATAAATCAATTTTTCATTTTTTGCAGTATCTGTAGTACAGATGAATGTATTATCAGGTTAAGTAAATATTATTATAATTTAAAAGTCATAAAATTCGTAGTTGAGACCTATTTAGAATGTGAACTGTTGAGGAGTTAAGTGATTCAAGCTTGTGCTTCTTCAATTTTGTACAAAAGTCACTGTAAAGTAATTCATTCCTTATACTTTATACAATATAAATACGTTAATTAACTTTGTGAATATTAGTTAAGAATTAACGAAAAAAAAGAAGAGTTTTGAGTTTGTGTGATTAATATTTTTTTAAACAAAAAAAGATTAGCAAATGCAAGCAATAAATCAAAATATTAAATGGACTTTTTTATTTTTGAAATTTTTTTTCAAATTGTTTACTTTTATTTTTCATAAAAATAACCATTCAATCATTAATTTATAAACAAAACTGAAAGATATCAAATATTTTCTGTAATCTGCTCGAAACATTTTAACTAAAAATAAATTCAGCGTATTTTTGTACTCAAATTTATTCTTAGAGCTTACTGTATACAGTCTGTTATCAGCTGCATGAATCAGCTGCATGAATTCACAATGTGATTTAAAAGTCTTAAAATTCATCGGAAATCAGCATTTGGCATTAAAAATAATCTCAATTTGTTAATCTTTATCAGAAAATTTTGGATTATAAATGGATTTTTGATTCAAATCAAAATTTGAAAATACCAGATTGATCTATTAATTAAATGAGTTTTTAGGTCATAAAACAAGTTTAAAACCTTTTTAGTGTTATAAACTTGAAATGCACTTTTTTGTATTACTTGACCAATTTTATTAATAATATTAACGAGATACAAAATTAGCTCTGATTTTTTACAAATTATGTCTCTTAACTTGTTTCGATAACTTTCTAAAGCTCATTTAAGTTGTTTTTATGTTCAAAAGTAATTCAAAATATTATTACATTTTTTATTTTTCCATCTAAAAGCAAATTACTTTTTAAAGCAATTACTACTTTTTACTGTCTGTTTATTCAAATTTTATTTTTGAAGATTACAAATAAACTTTTAAATTGATTTCGGTACACAGTTACCAGAAATCGTGAATCTTCATGATCTCTCATTTGCATAATAAAAAAGTGATCGGACTTATAAAGGTTCGATAATGAAAATAGCAATAAAGCAACTAATGAGTAGTGCACAAAGACATTATTAGTATTTTAATATTAAATAACAAGACTGATGTTAATAATAGACAATTTTATGGCAAAATTAGTACGAAAACTGATATTGTTCATTATGGTAGCAATAAAAATAGCTAACAAAGATAGTTATTAAAATATTAATGGTTGCAATCGCACCAACACTAATTACGGTACAAATGTATTTGAATTGATAGTTTTAACTGCACTACCAAGTGAACCAAAAACAAATACAATGAAAACTTGTTTGTACCAAAAATTTTTGCATATTTCAGTCGGCGTTTGATTCTCTGAGACCATTTACTTATCCAGACACGGACGTGTTTTTGCTTTGTTTCAATGTAATGCTACCTAGTACACTTCGTTCAATTACCGATCACTGGATTCCTGAAATCAACAAAACAGTTCCTAATACGCCTTGTTAGCATATTATATAATTGTTGTTACACTTTTATGATTTAAAAATAAATAAGCAAATTGATAAATAATAATTTTTTGGAATCATAGAACTTTACAAATTACTAACTTTGTAAATAAAAATATATTAAAAAATCAAATGCAAATTAATAAAAAATAACTGCGTAAAATGAAGAAAATTTTTTAATATTTGGTGTCAATTTTACCTAATCAAACCAATTATTTTAAATTGTATTTACAAGAAAATAACTCAAAGTAATTTTTACATTGAAAGAATAAAAATAAAAAAAGATTTGTAGTAATTGAATTAGTACTTAAAATTGACTGAACTTCTAGTGATTCTTGTTGGTACACAATCAGATTTACGTGCAAATGTTAGTTTGGTGATTGATTTATGCAAAAACGGTGAACAACCTGTAAGTGAAACGAAAGCTCGAATGTTAAGTGAAGAATTATCAGCTGATTATTTGGAATGTTCAGCATTAACACAGCAGAATCTGAAAGAAGTATTTGATGCTGCAATTTTGACAGCATTACGACGTAAAGCATCTATTCCTTGTCAAGCAAAAATTACAAACACTGTACGTTGTTCACGTGAACCTTGTGGAATTCTTATGAATGGCAACGATCGTGACGAAAAAAAATCAAGTAAAATTAAACAGGGATTTAAACGAATTGTTACATTAACTAAAAAACTATTCTAAAAC